GCCAGACAGGTTAAAGTGTTCTCCCACTGGTTTTTGAGTATTATGATTCCTGATGTCAGATTTGTGTCCATTAATTGTGTATATATATCTCCTCGATATGTTTCACTCAATATGCATCCGAAGAAGTGGGTTGTAGCCCACGAAAGCTTATGCTCTAATAAATTTGTTAGTCTCTAAGGTGCCACAAGTACTCCTGTTCTTATTTTGGGATGGAGATATTGGTTACGGAGAGAGAGTATGTCAGAGACACATCTGCAGGATGGGTCAAATCCAGCCATTTGTGGGTATTCCTGTTAACCTCCCAAGGGAAGAGGTGCAACCTCATCGCTTAGAACAAAAATTTGTCACCCCAGTCGAAATATATAATAAGGATCAGTCATAACCTGATAGGGCAATAGGCTAAATAATCTTAAAGCTCTCTCTAGATTGCAAAACTGTCTTTTTGAGGTATTTACTGAGTAAGGGTTAATGTTGTAATGGGATATACAACCATGTCTCTTGTGAACTTGCAAGCCCTAGGAAGACTGAAGAAATTGGCTCTAGTCCCTGACAATTTACTGACTGATGTCAACTTTGCATTAGTCTATTCTGCTGTGGACTAAATAAATTGTGCCTTTCCTGAGAAGTGACGGGCCAGCAAATCAAATAGTCAGCGGCTTCCCATCAGGCAAAAGGCCAAATTCTGCTCTGCATTACCCTAGGGTAAGCCTGGAGAAAGTCCACTGAAGTCAACAGTGACTCTATTCAAGCCAGTGGACTTACTTCCATTGCTCACCACAGGCACAGATGCTGGCACACTCTGGATTGCGCTTGTATCAGAGGACCGAAGATGTGTTGCTTGGCTATGTTGCAGCTGTGGTTAGATAGGAGTAAACTTGCAGTGTGGGATGTGCTCATGAGGAACTGGAGCCAGGAAATGCTGGTTAGCAAAGCTCAAGAATGTTGAAAGTAGAGACGGATGTGCTGCCTTCTAATGGCACTGGACCATTGCAAGTGCTGTGGAGCAGTTTCATGATACCCCCATTGACCTTCATTTTTTCCCCTCATGGCAGGCACAGTTAAGCTAGGACAATAACACAGTGGGTCACCTTCCATGTAAGAGCATGGAGGATTTTGTGTTTGGAGAAAGGAGGCATTTGCCAAAGACAAGAGTTCATAGAAGTATTGGCTTTTAATTGACTTATGCCATATAATGGTTCCGCTGTGGATGCCTGCAGCAGGGTTTGTTGTCAAAACTGTGTCTGCCTGGCTTTGAACCAAAAGGAGATGCATGTTCAATTAGGTTGGGTTTTTTTGGATGTTACTGTATTTAACAAAATAGTCTCTCTCCTCCCCCCCCCTCCCACCCAGTTTCTGGTTACTGGCTCATCATTCAGTGGACAAGCACTACAAGTCAGTTTTGGAGGAAATCATAGAAAAATCATGCACTGGTATTTATAAACCATTGCCTCATCTGTAGGGAATGAGAGCAAGATAAAGGCTTTGAAAGCCAACTCTTCAAGTGAGAATAACAATTTAAGATCCTGGTTAACCAATTTTATTTATTTTTTCTTTTTGAATGTACTATTTTGTGTCAATGCACGGTCCTTTGTAGATTAGTGGATTCAAACAGTCTGGATTCCTTGCAACAAGTATCTCTTTTTAAAGGGACAATAGTAATTTAAAAATCACATTTTTGTCTGAATGTTTTTTGTATTTGTGTGTATGTCTCCAGAGTTGCTAGTTACTCGTCCTTGTTCTCCAGTTGGTGAGGTATTTGAATAGATTCTGAAAGGTTGGCAGAGGTCCCGTTGTAGCTTAAGAATTTAAACAATGAGATTAAAAACAAAAATCACTCAGGCGTAAAAGTGTAATGCATTTGACTTTATTTACAATACCAGCAACTGATATTATATTCTTTCACTCAGGAGTAAATTACTTGGCTCCTGACCTCTTCAGTGTAATTTACTACAGTGTATATTTTAAAGCTATTTTTACGTGCATGTTAAAGGCTAGCATTGCAGTTTTCTCTGGCTGGCTGATCCTGCTGGGAAAATCCTTCCTTGCAGCCATGGGTGAGATGCAATACAGCAGTGCTAATCTCTAGCACATGTGAGAAATGAGGGTAGTGGACTCGGAGAACAAAAAGTCCAGATACCAGCAGTTAGCTTACATGTCAGCAGCTGCTAAAGTGGAAAATGAATGATAATTGTTGATGCAAACCTTCAGAGAGTGTTTAAAGATCACAGCAAAGGGTTAATCATAGCCATGTGTAGTGCCTTCTGGCATTATGTAGCATAGCAGAGCTAGTATTTATGAATGAAGGTCAGACATGCCACTTTCAAGCATAGGTGCTTGAAGTGGTTTGCATTATATACGGGGTTAACAGTTTGGTTCAATGGTTCTCAGCACCCCCACTATAAAAATTGTTCTAGCACCCCTGCTTTCAAGACCCTCTCTGACTAGCTGTTTACAAAATATGGTGTGTGGTTTTTTTTTTTTTTTTTTTAAAGAACAAAGCTAGGTTGAGTTGCAGCCCTAATTGCTCTCTGTCAGAAATGTGACATGGTGCACAATATGTAGGGGCTGAAGGGGTTTAGCCCATCTTCACCAAGTGAGCAGCCAATGCTATTATTAGTAACACACTGAGTCATAGAAGCAAGAATGCCAAACTGCTTGGGCTGTGTCCCTGCTGCACAGGAGGGAGCTAACAATAGAAGCCCAGCCTAGATGCATTCGGCAATAGGCATTTTCCCCCATGCATTTCCCTACACTTTTTTTTTTATTTACATAAAGACTTCGTTGAACCACATCAGAGCTGAGAGAGGCTGGCTTATTTAATTTCTTTCTGTACCGGGTGGTATATATACAAAACACTTTGAAATATTTGCAGTAAATAAAATCTATCACGGGCTGTATGTTCTGATTCTCCAAGATGTATCATCCATCTGCTGCTCTGTCGGAAGGGCGCCTGCATATTGATTCTGTACATTATTTTTTTTTCTCCTGAAGTAAAGGCTTTTGGGAAGGAATTCCCTTGTGGTGGCCTGAATTACAATCCAATTTCAGCTCTGCGAACCCGGAAGTGTGGTTTAACTGAGTTTGTTACTGGAAACCAGGAATACCTGAGGTTATGAACCCAGGTCATCATTGATTTCCCCTTTGAGCTCAGCCTCTTCTTCCTCTTTTTCTTTCCCATTTGTAAAATAATGGGTGATAAAATTTACCTGCCCAAAAGGGGCATGCTAAGGATTAGTTAATGTTTGTAAAGTGATTTGTAGATTACTGCAAAAGATTATGAATAAAGCCCTTTGGAGAAGGAAAATATGTAAGTACAGTATTGCCAATTGCAAGTGTTCACAAATCATGGTCTCTCTCCCCGGAGGGGAGGGGGGGAGCGAGATTGGCTTAAAATTATTTTTTTAAAAAGTTTATTTTATATTTGTCTTCTGGTTTTTGAGCCACGAGGCATTGTTTTTATTATTATTGTTAGGCATTATGCAATAAATATGATTAAGGGCCAGCCAAGAATGGAGCCCCATTATTCTAGGACCTGTACAAACACAAAGTAGCAGACATTTTTCAAGCTTTTCTCCAAAACCTCAAGGGCTGGAAACTTACCTTTATTAAAAAAAAAAAAAAAAAAAAAGTCTAAGCCTCTCACCTAATAACATGACTCCAGAAGCTGGGGCTTCAATAGAAAACAACAGATATCATCAGAATTTCTATGAAATTGTGACAAGCTTGGCAACACTGTAAGTGCTTTATTATTTTGACATCAACTTAATGACCATCCTAAAACCACTGGTCAGTTAGTGCTGGGAGACTGGTGCTTGGGAGACTGAACCCTGGAAAACCAGACCAGTTGCATATCAGGACTCAGCAGTTCTATATGGAATGGACAGAGGTGTGTGTGTGTGTGTGTGTGTGTGTGTGCTGGAGAAATTTATAGGTAGCCTCATTGTTCAAGACATCAGTCTTTTCAGTTTTTGAGCACTCAAGATTTTTTTTTTTTAAAGGTGGGAATGATAAGAGGATTTGGAGCTTATACATATTGTACCTCCAAAGCAGATGAGTGACCCAGACCCACACCAAGAAATTTCACTTAATGAACATTTTGACCTTTGCTCCCAAACCTAGTTGCCCTCTAGACTAACTTTTTTTTTTTTAACAGCATCCTTCAGAGAGATGCCCAATGTGCACAGTCTCATTTAACTATTTCATTGTGTGCTGTGGTGGAAACACATTAGGAGAATGTCGCAGAGCCCGTTTGCTTTCTGGATATTAACATTTATATCTGTTTTAAAATGTAAACAGGGCTCTATCAAAGAAAGTCAGCTCTGCTGCCGTTGCCCTCTTGTTAAATTTCCAGTCACCTTTGTGCTTCCTCAGACACTTGGGAGAAGGTCTCCAAAATTCAGAAAACGAACGCATTATCCTCTTTCAAAACTATCCTTAAAACGTCCTTTGCTGTGATGCCTACAAAAAACTTGCCAACAGTTAAGCTGTTGGTATGCTGAGACCACGCCTGTCATGCTGACCAATATTGTTTTATTGTTTCTTTGTACTTCCCTGTCTGTCGGTGTCCATCTGTTGTCTCTGTTCTTGTATATAGATTTTAAGCTCTATGACTTTTGAATCTGTTTATACAGCACCTAGCACAATGGGGTTCTGGTCCATGACTAGGACTATACTACAAATAATCCGCACTTGTCCTGTATTCATCTTGGGTTCTAATCAAGCTCAGTTTGGGTCAAATGAAAAATAAGCTGGTGAATATCAATTCTGCAATTTAAACAGTTCCCCAGGCATTCCTCAGTGCGCCTCACTTGCAATCTGTTCTCTGTCACTTGGGGGATCACTGTGTTGCCAGTGCTATACTGCTTGGCCAGGAGGAATGGAAGGTGGTGTCAGTGATTAGAGATTAGGGACGGTGGAATTTTGTGTTTGTTACGCAGCAGCTGCAGCAGGTTGTTTCAGCGCAAGGGGCAGAGTCCACCCGCACGGAATGAACTGACACTAGTAACAGGAAAAGGGACCGAGAGGGAGAGTGTGAGGAGATAGGAGGCACAAGAAGAAGAGACAGTGGCAAGCAATCAGACTGTATCAGATTTTGTGGAAAATCTGACCAAGGAAAAGACGCCTCTGGAATAAGCTGCCTCCTGCCCCCCCCCTTTTTCTTTTCTATCCCAGCCAAACATTGCTGGAAGGAAAGTGTGCGTACATAAATTACTTCGGTTAATCCTTGCAGTCTCTACTACAAAGAGGACTCATTTACCATGGTGAAAGAAAAAGGTAATTAACATGTATTGATATGTCAGCCATGATCGTCTAAGGTTTAAACCTTTCAGTGTAGAGTTAAAGTTGTTGTTGGTGGCTGTCTTTTTTTTTTTCCTCTTTATATCCTCATGCCAATAACTGCAGTGAGCTGAATTAAGTATTTTTGCATCTATTTCCCCTACAGTAGAGTTTGGCATGCACCTCGTTTCAAGTTTGTTTGTTTGCTTTCCTGATAAATGCTTGTTTGTAAATGTTACCTGACTTGCATTTTCTATCCACTGTTTTGTTTTTTTAATGTAATTTCTAGTCTTTTTGCCACCAAATGAGTTACATTAAAAATGTAATTGGAATATCGTCATAGCTAGCAAGTCCTGAACATGAAGACGAATGTCCTCGTAGTTTGTTTTTATATAGAAATGGGCTGTTTTGTAAAGGATAGTTTTGTTATTGTCTGAACTCTGCAAGCTGTACTTGATAATTGTAATTTAATTATCTTAAATCACCCCTTAAAGCTGCTGCTCAAGCAAAAGACAGACTTGGAATAGGAGAAATCAGGGAGTTGGCCAAGGAGTCATTCATTTCAGTAACACAGGACTGTCTCTCATTGCATTACAACGATATGAAATATAATCTAAATTCAGATATGACTCATGGATTGAAGCTAATTTTGAAACTTAATATTTTAATAGGTGGATTCATAGGCAGTAACACAAGGCCTAAAAGCAATCTCTGCATACCACAAAGAGAATCTATGTAATTTCTCTCTGCTTATAAATCTCAGTAAAAAGCAGGCTGGACATAATGTAATGTAGGAAAGAGGTGTAAGTGTCAAATTAGGCTAATAATTCAGTTGAATTTTTTACCTCTAAGACCTTAGCTGAAAACTGGTTGAGGTGACAAATAAAATGAATTGAGTGACACTGTCTGTCATGGGCGTGGCCAAATCACTGAACAATTGACAGTCCCTGCTTAAGAGAAGCCCAAGTCTGGAATCACAAGTATTGTCTGCTTCTCAGGTTTGAGGTATGTTATGTGGGTACTATCAGCCGCTCTCTAGCATTAGTAAGTCACAGATGATATAGTGGTCAAATCACCCTTTTCAGCAGAGGTAAATGAAGTGTTGTGAAGATTATCATATATGGAGATTGAAATTAAACTTTAAAAACTGAGGTGCTATCTGGTCTAAAGATGCATAGTGTTGTTCATAAAACTTTCCCTTTTGATGGCTAAAATTTCCTGTCTTCATCCCACTGATTCCCACGTAGCTGGACTCTCCAATCTAGATGTGTTTGCGTTTTTTGGGGCTGCGTAAAGACAACTTGATGCCCTGGAAGGTGCTGTATAAATGACCAACCTTTAAATTTGTATGAAAGAGAAGTGGAGAATAATAGAAGGAGAATGCAGTGTTGGGCATTATGTTGAAAATGTCCCATAATTTATTTTGGGGGAAAATAAAGAGACTTTAGAATTTATCAATCCTGTAGTGCTATTTTTAAATACCTAACATGCATTCAGTTTGAGTTTTAGACTAAAATAAGGGCTAAATGCTCTCTCCTGAGTCCATATGAACAGCTACCACTGATACCTCACTGTTACAGATTGTAAACAGTCTGTAGCCCTTAGTATCTTGCCACATTTTTCCTCATTATCTTTCTGCCTTCCTATTTCAGACAGATACTCCCACAACTCCTTCTCCCACTTCATCCAGGACATCAGGAGTTGCAACTACTTGGGAGCTAATTCAAATGCCACTCTGTAGTGTTGCTTGCTTGCGAGATGACATGCTAATGTAGTGCAGGAGGTACTCTCTCTTCAATGTGCCTAAAATTCAGCCTGTTTAATGCCTGGGAACCCATGGTGGTTCATAAACATGCTGGCCAGGAACTGGAGAAGCTGGTTTCAGCTAGAAAAATGCAATCGCAATTCACTGAAGTGCAAACCAGTTAGTAATGGTTTATATCAAATTAGCATGCTTCATTATGCTCATAGTGTAGAATGATTTCAGTATGTGTCTGGTCAGCTCAGATATGTGCATAGAAAAATATTGAGTCCAGGCTGCTATTCTTCAGTCACCAAATGACGCTGGCGGAATTATGATTGACTGACATTACATTTTCGTTCCTCTGAATGTGCACCTGTCTGCTTCCTTTGATCTGGTGTACTTGACACATTGTTACGCTATTTCATTCAAGAACAACTTGCCCTCACAGTATTCAGTAACTGATAAAACAACTTGCGTATGCTTCTCAGTCAGTATCTGCTTTTCAGAATATCCACCTGTCACGCCGCAACTTAAAATCCCTACTGTGGAGTGTAACTAGTGTATTAGTTTTGAATCCAGTTTGGTAATATATTTTCTAGCTAGGAGCTGGCCTATAGAACTAGAGTAAGTGGTACGATGTTGAGGTTTGAGACTGAATTTGAGGCCAAGATCCTCAGCTGGGTTAAAATGGCCTAGCTCCAATTAGAGCAATGCCAATTCACAGCAGCTGAGGATTTGCCCTGAGTCTTGATGTCTTGGCCAACAGATTCTGGGAGTATCCATGAGTACGACTCCCATTCTTACTGGGGCATGAAGGGAGGAGTTGACTCTAATGGTATTTTAACTTATGATCCCTACGGAAAGTTATGTGGGATCACATGTGGGGCAGACCCAGGGGAATGGAGCCATGCCTTGACAGGCCAGAGTTTTCCTCTGGTATGACAGTGCTTGATTAAAGAGAAAGAAGAGATGGAGACTTTAACCCTCAAATGCCCTTCTCTGCAGCCTTAAGATTTGTGCCT